ATTAGATTGGTCAAAGGACTGCATCAAATTAAATTTGATTTTGGCAATCGTGCTGTGGTTATATAAAAATATCCTTCTCCTATGTAAGTATACTCTAAAATTTTAGAATGGAGGCCATTTTCAGACAGTTTCGAATTTATACATGTACAGAGACTAGAACCACCTCACTTTTGTGTACATGAGAAAATGTAAACAGCTGTAATAGGTGGCTTTGGACAAATGGAATATGGGAATTCTTTATACTCTTACAACTCTTCTGTGAGTACAACATTGTTCCAAAAAAAAATTTTTTTTTTAAAGAAAATTTCAGAAAAAAAGGAGCCAATAGTGCATCTGAGGCAGGCTGGCAGAAACAGTTGGAGTTGGATGTATTGGTGCATGCCTATAATCCCAGCACTTGGGAAGCTGTGGCAGGAGGGCTGCTATGAGTTCAGGGCCAGCCTGAACTACATAAAGAGACCTTATCTCAAAAAAAAAAAAAAGATTTCTGGGTGTGGTGGTCCATGCCTAAAATCCTGGCATTCAGGAGGCTGTGGCAGGAGAATTGCCAGCTTAGACTACATAGTGAGTTCAAGGTCAGCCCTTGAATGAGACTCTCAAGCAAGCAAGCAAGCAAAGAAATTGAGTTGCTCTTTGAGGAGAGAATCTGGAGACTCTCATTACCGGGCCCCCGTTCCCCTGGCGGCAACAGTACTGAGGCAGGAGGCCTGCTTGGCTGTCTTGGACTCAGTCCTTGATCCTTTACATCCCCTTTTCTGGGCTCGTTTCTTTACTTAATGAGACTGGAATAATGGTGTCTATCCCTTTCATTGTTATGCTAGTTTCCCAAAAGCAGACTATGCTTTTAGAAGTTGCAGGGAGAAGAGAGAATATAAACCAGAAATACAAATGGCTGAGTTCAGCAAACAGACAGAGGGTTGTGGGGGTGACTGGTAGGACCTTCCTGCCTCAGCTGAAATCTCCAGTTAGTGTGAACTCACAACCAAGGCAGAGGGGCCCTTGGATCACAGTTATTGAGACACGCTGGAGTCCTCTTCTGTCCAAGGAGATGGCCAGCCCCGACGTACCCATCTCAGTGAGCCTAATATTAAGAATGAGGATGGAGGGTTGGCTGGACCTGGGGATGCACCAGCTTCTCCACATCACCATCCCATCATCCACCTCTCACCTGAGTGACAGCCTTGGCCTCCTGCATGAGACTCAACACTTGCCCTGAACCCTGCCCCAAGCTCCTCAGGCTGCATGTGAGATCTCCCCTGATCCAAATTTGACTGTGTCCATGTCCCCATGGAGGGTGCAGGCTTCTAAGCCAGGAGGTGACAGGCTGACCCTAAGGGTCCTGATATCATATACCCGGATGTTCTGCTGCAGACCAGCAAGGAAGGCAAAGGGCAGGAGGACTGAGAAGGAGCATCTGTGGCCTGGGGAGCTGGGAGAAAACAGAAGCCTGTGAAACCCTGTAGTAAGATAAACCAAGGGGTCAATTACCCTGAGCTCCAAATCCCCTTGCCCCAGGGTCTCCCAGTCTTCCAGAGACTTTCAACTCAGAGACAGCTCTTCTAAAACAGCACTTCTTTGTGCCAAGAAAGGGTCTGTGAGCACCTGCCACCTTCATTAGGAACTGGGACAACTCAATACAGCTCAGCTGCCCAAGCACTCAAATGGCTGGGATGTGAGCCTGGGAAGGAGAAGCCTCCTGACTCCCCAGTGCCTACTCCTGGGCAATAATTAATACTCTAGGAAAACTGCAAAGCCAGCTCTCTAGAGCTCCAGATCTAGTGCCCTGGAGGGTCCCAGGCAGGAAGGCAGAGTTGGCAGTCTGAGTAGACCACACCTGGATCTTCCCTGCGCCTCAGGCAGCCAGACCTTTTTTGCTCATTGTGCAATATAAATATTCATGCAGGAATGCAGGTGCAGGTTTATGTGCCGGCAGTGGCCTGTGTGTGCACGCTTCCTGCTATATCTGACTGTTAACATTAAGAGCAGTTAATATCATTATTTACTGGTATAGGAAAGTCTGTTTAACCCTCACAGCAAGGCAGATTTTCACTATATCTGTATTATAGAAGAGGAAACTGATGCAGGGGAAGGTTAAGCAGCATGCTCAAGGTCATAGGTAGGCCTAGATTTGAATAGCTAACATGAATCTAGTCTTGGCCCTTAACTTTGACCCACCTCAGCCCCTCTAGGGCCCACAACAGTTTCCTGGATCAGCTTGTGCATCCATATTAGAATAAATGAGAAAGAACAAAGATCTGACCTCTGCTGTTCCTCTGCTTACGGTAAAGGGTCCAGAGAGATCATCCTAAGATACTTCTCAGAGTTTTCCCATTGCTGGTCACTCATCCTGTACCCTAAGGTCTGGGCTTCTCCAGTAGAGGCCAAGACCTCCAAGTCTGAATTTGGGGTCAGGGAGGAGAGAATGTTATGCTTGGCTTCCACCATATCTGCAGGCTCAGTGTTTCCCATTTCCTGGGGTCAGGCCCTATAACTACAAGAGTTTTACAAGGGTGTCCCCAAGAGATACCTTCTTGTATTTCTGCTCAACAGCATTCGCTGTAAAATACATCAAAGCATTTTGGCTTTAGTTTTCAGCTGAGAATATGCCAATGTTTTCACTTGGAAGCGGAAGTGTTTCTGTTGATGTGGTAAGAAGATAAATCAAGACATTCTTCATTAAGTTACACTGTCTCAAAGTCAAGCACTTGGCTCGGGGACAAGGATTCATTTTGAGATCACCGAAACCCAGCAAATAGAATGGCATAGAAACAAGCAGGGTCAAGGGTTGCTGATGACTAAGTGAGAGATTATGTGAGGAGCCTAGAACCACAAGTGGCATATGGTCAATAGAATTTGAAAGGATACCAGAGATCCTACTTCTGACCTATGTTCTCAGTCTGCTCCTGTTTCCTTGCGTTCAATGACCTGTTCCAAGTCTCTGTCCAAAGGACGACGAATAGCCTCTTAGTTACTTTCCCTGCTTCTACACTCCCTTCAGCCCATTCCGCCACAGCTACCACAGATATCTTTGTAAAAGGCAAGCTGGATTATGTCATCCCCTGCCTAAAACCTTCCAGCAGTTGTCTATTGTTCTTGGCATGGCATTCCAGGTCTCACATAGTGTGGGTCCTGCCGGCTGACCCTAACTCTTCTGGGGACGCTCTCCACACACTGGCCTCCTTGGGTTGCTGGATGAGCCGACTCTCTTCCATCTCAATTTCTCAGCATTGCAGTTGCCTCTGCCTGGTGTGCTTTTCTCTGGCACCAATCAATTTAGGGTTCAGCTCAAATATGTCAGCTCTTCACAGGGGTCTTCTCTGGTACCCCTAGTAAAACAGCCTATCCCTACTCTACAGAGAGCATCAGGGTGCTAAGGACACAGCAGTGAACCATAGGGGAAGCCCAGTCCTTCTTGCACACCTTCAGAGTTTTTGCCAGTCCTCAGGGGCTTGTTGAAGACTTGCTAATCTTCCTCATCAGGTGTCAGGAGGACCAGGGCCCTCTAGTTTACTGGGTTCACTTCCCAGGTGCAGTCCTGAACAAATAAAAATGGACAGAAGACAGGCAGGCAGGAATGCAGAGCAGTTGGGTCATGTCCCACCTAGCTCTTGACCGGTGGGATTTCACTGTCCTCATTTGAAGCTTTCTTCAAAGAAGTCTTGCTGTTGGCCCCTTAGGAGAGAAAGCCTTTTTCCCCAAGCACTGCTGCAGCAAGTCGTGCCCCACCCTGCATCAGTCTCTGCAGCAGACTAAATGTTTGGGTCCCCCAATCTCTGAATCCTATGCCACAACCCTGATTCCAATATGATGGTATAAGGAAGTGGGGCCTTGGAAAGTGATTAATTCATGAAGGTGGAACCCTTGTGAATGGCATTAGTGTTCATCCTATAAGCACTGTGAGGAATGTTTGTTATTTAAGCCATTCAGTCTATGGACACTGTCACAGTATCTAGAACTGACTAAGACAACCCGCTGACTATGGTCATATTGGCAAAGACTGTAACACAGCAGAGGGGTAAATAGTATCTGTTTACCAAAAGGAGGCCCTGCCCACCACCTCAATAACTCTTTTTGCTGTTACTCAGGCTCCATGCCCAGCAGAACTCCAGAACCATCCAGCCACAGGCTCACCCAAGGAGTCCCTGCCTGCCCCATGACCCCCTCACTGGAGCTGATAGCTAATGAGAAGTCTGCCAGACACACATGTTCTCTCTTTTGTTTAGTACAGTTACCTCTCTTTATCCTTGCTGGGTGACTTTGGCCACTCTTAGTCCTGCTGGGACTTTCATCTTCTTGTCTTACCCTGCAACACAGGCTAAACATGCAGGTCCCTAGGTGAAGCCCACAGACAGGACTTCACCACCTCACTGCAACAATCCTGCAGACAAAAGCAGCCATAGCACCAACCTTCACTTGCCTGTTCCATGAAGGCAGCCTGCAAAGCTGGCAGCCCTGGATACTCTGAAACCTGACTCCAAAACAGCAGCAAACCCAAGGCCAAAAGGAAGTACAAGACTCTTTGCTGAAGGTTTCTCCTCTTAAGGCCCTGGGCTGGGGTCCTGCATGCAGTCCCCTAGGGTCCACAGTGCAAAGGTAATCAGTGCCTGGCTCCCTACCCCTTCTGACACCTCCCAGCCTTCCTACTTCCAGGACTAGTGAGAATCCCCAAATCACCAAGGTCATCATCAAGATAGGCTGAGATTGGTGGGAGGAGCTGGCAGCTATGCCTAATATGGATTTGGGTGCAAAGGCTTCTTCAACAGACCACGGGGATAGATTTCATAGTTACTCCAAATGCAGCATAGGCCCTGGGACCTCCTTTTTCAACAGCTGTCCCCTTCACTAGAGAGATTTTCCAACCCCAGCTGAGGCCTAATAGGGGTCTACTCATTCCTGGCATCCAGTTAGATCCGGAGAAGCCTGAGGGAGGAATGCACGTCTGGTCTGGGGACACATTCCTCTACCCTGACCCAACCAACCCTCATCCCCAGGGCACTTACAGGCCTTGGAGGCCGGGGAGGGTCTTGTCCTGGGTTCCCATCTCCGTCCGGACGGCACCTCCAACCAGGAGGGGGGGCATGATCTGGGCAGCTGGTCCAGGCCAAGGGTTACGGATCGTGGAAGGGAAGGGGACAGAGCAGTTAAAACCCTACTCCAAGTACCCATCGAAGACGTCAAGCTCTGAATCGGCATCATAGAGGCCAGAGCCGGGGTCGGAGAGAACGCCAAGGTCCACAAGCGCCTGGTCCAAGTCCTCGGGCAGAAAGACTAGGCCCACATTGAGGACGATGTACTCCATGAGGAAGGCGTAGTACAGAATCAGCACATTGACGAAGAACAGGCCCACGTAGAACATAGAGGGCAGCAGCGGAGGCTGCACGTAGGAGACCAGGGGGCCCAGAGAGTCCAAGTGGGCTGCGACACGGGCGCCAGGCATGCAGGGGGCGGTGAGGGCGGCGGCGGCCCGGCGATCCCAGCGACCTCAGCCGCTGCGGCGCCCGGGCGGCCGGTGACAGGGCAGCTCAGCCATCCAGGGCCACCCCGGGGCTCGACCGAGGCGGCGCTGGTCACCAGGTGGCCTCCAATGAAGTATGGCGGCCTCAGCACTCCGGACGTGTGCTTGTGGCCCTCCTGACCCTCGGGCAGCGAGGCGGGACCCTAGGAGTCGCCAGCCGCTGCCCAACTCCTTAAGTGCGCTGCGCTTCCGCTCACGGACCCCCGCGGCGCCAGAGGTTCCCCCACCGAAGCTCAGCGTCGAGGGTCAGTCCAGGCTGCTGTCTCTCGCACCCTCCTTGGCTGTCCCCGGAGGTCCCTTGGCGTCCCCGCAGGCCCAGCATCCATAGCTGCGGCCACCGCAACGATCCCCCGGTCTTGTTTCGAGCACCACCTCCTGAGGGGCCCAGCGCTCATTGGCCCGCAGCCTTTCGCCCACGTTTATTGGCCTACTCAACTCCCACTCCTATTGGTCCAGTAGTCAGGAGGGCGGGTACTCTTTCGCACCGCCCTTCTGCGCGCTCGCTTTAGAGTTGCGTTACTGTTTGCTGTCTGAGCTTTGGTTTCAAGTTGGCTTTTCTCCGCGCGTTCAGAGAGTAGGAGAGCGAAAAGAAACTGAACACAATTCTATTTTAGAAGGAACACAAGGCCACCAAAACTGGAGGAAACCACAGCCTTTCTCTGTACTTTTCTGGGCCATTTGGGTATCGCGCTATGTCTCTTTGGGACTATTTCCCCAGTTTGGGTGGTAGGGTGGGGAGAGTTGGTAGGTAGTTGCACAGAAAATCTTGATCATTCCCAAAGCACCAGTGTTTTGTTTTTCCATGGTAGAGTGAGAAGTATCAGTCAGTGCCCCCTTCATGTCCCCAGATTCTGCTGCTGGGAGATTCATTCATGGAGGATGGGAAAAGCGGAATAGACATTATAGGATTTAGGAACACTTGGATGAAGAAAGGTCAAAATTTTTTGCTAGTGAGGTTGCTCGTTTCTTTTCGCTTTGTAAATAATATTTTAAAGCAGTAGTAATACGAATGGCTAGCAGTCAAGTACACGGCAGCCTCTCATCCAAGAATTTACCTGCTTGCAGGCAACATTTATATATCCTTTAAGACTGATCTTGAGTGTCTTTCAAAGCACTTCGACAAATCTTTAAATCTAAGGCCATGGTAAACTGGGTCTTTCCATACATTAGTTAATTGCAGCCAGACAAGGGAGAGTAGTATGTTGTCCTTTTTTAAAGGTGTGGAAACAGCCCTGGAGAAATGCAGTGGTTTTGAAAGCTATTGGGTCTGGGTGTGTTTCTTTGGAGGCCAGAACTTGTTCTCTTTCTTCTTTGACTTAGTCTCTATATATAAATTACTGAGTAGTGAACCATTAACCCTGCACTGGTCTCCCCTTTTCCTGTTCCTGAAGGGAAGACAAACCACTTACTCTGTCAGTATTTACTGAACACATCCTATGTGTCCCAGGCCCAGTTATTTTCTGAGCACAGGTAATGGGACACCATAAGCATTACGTAACTATGAGTAGAAATGAATGAATAAATGGATAGTGAGCAGGAAAGTCTTGCCTCCCACTTCCAATCTAGGGGGAGATTTAGATAATATGTAGAACGCTGATTGTTTCCTTTTTTCTTCTTAAGGTGGGAGTGTGAGAGATGGCACCCGGTTTGGGCAAGACCAGAGATAGCCTCTGAAAGTACCAGATGTTCACTTTTGATACATTGTTGCTTGAAGACCTTTCCAATATATATTTTTTAAAAGTGAAGTGGGAAAAGAAGAGGTTCGGAGGACAAACAAGGTTATTACTGATTTTGTGCAGTTTTGACTTTTTACGGAACAAAGATAAGGCCACCTAGACTTGAACTCTAGTTCTGCTCCTTATCAATTGCCTGACTTCGGGCAAATCAACCTTTTTGTGACTCACTTTCCTTAATGATAAAATGAGAATAATAACAGTATCCACTTCATAGTGGTGTTGTGTGAATTGTTTTAATATACATAATGCCACATACCGTGGCAAACGGTATGTGCCATGAAAGCGCTAATATTTCTTATCATGATGCTAGTAATTATTAATATTATATATCTACAATATACCAATAAAATCTGATTGGAAAGAAAAATATCGTAGCTACTTTTATTTACTCATCTTCAGCAAGTGCTTCAGGACCCCGCCCACCAGGGGGTTGTGCGGCAGCCTCTCCTCCTCTCGCCCCGCCTCTTCGGGAATGCCGCGTGATGCATGCCAGGCCTTGTAGTCCATTCACGGAGTCTTGTCGCCAAGAGCCTCCTAGGGGAACTACATTTCCCAGAGTTCTTCTTGACAACGGCCGTAAAGCGCGGCGGTCGAACGGCCGGTTCCGGCTGAATGTCAGTGCTGGGCTGTGGGTCGGGGAGGAAGGTGGTTGGCGATCTCAGTATCACCTCCACGGTTGCCTCTGCTTGTGCTGCCGCTGTGATCGCTGGGCCGCTCGGCCGGTGAAGCATGAAACCGTGAGGCGAGCGACGGGCCGGGGCCGCCGACATGTTTGGCCGCTCGCGGAGCTGGGTGGGCGGGGGCCATGGCAAGTCCTCCCGTAACATCCACTCCTTGGACCACCTCAAGTGAGTGATTAGGGGTAAAGGGGGAAGCTGCGGGGCTAGGGGCGCAGAGCTCAGGTTGGGGGGCGCTAGTTGTTGAGAGCTGAGAGGGCGGCTGGGAAAGACTGTGGTGGTTACGAGCGAGGGTTCTGGAGTCAGCACTGGGTTCGAACCCTGGCCCATAGCTCTTGGCTGTCTGTGTGACCTTGGATGAGTCGCTTAGCTTCTCAGAGTCTTAATATTTCCACCTGTACAATAAGGGAACATGGTTTAGGTTTGTGGACGATAGCTTCATTCCCACTAGGGCCGTCGGTGGTCACCAGGCTTCCCACGGTAATACCACTTAGCCTGTGCAGCTTAGGGGTCAAAGGCTTGGATCTTGGGATCTGGCATAAATGTGGATTCAAATATACGTGTACGCATTTAGGCCTCAGTTTCCTCAGTTGCAAAATGAATGAATGGTGACAGCGTCTGCTTCCTGGGATTATTCTGACAGCTAGTATAAGGAATGAACAAAAAGCTCAAACCATGTACAAGTGCTGAATTAAGGACAGTAATTAAAAGAACAAAGTATTTCTTTGGGGAAATAAAGTGGAGATAGGTGGCAAACAGTCTTGGGGGAGCAATCGTACACAGAGATTAAAAGACCTGGGACCGAATCCTGACTCTGAAATTTAATGGCTGTGTGACCTTGGGCAAATTACTTCATGTCTCTGAGTTTCCAGTCCCTATCAGCAAATGAAGATGGTGAACTTTGTACAAAGATTCAGTAATGTCTTGCTTGGAAAGTGTCTGACCCAGTATTAGTCCACAGTGTGTGGTCAGTTGTGGTAGCTGTGTTTATTAGCCCAGCAAGCCTTCCCAGGCCACCCTATCTAAAGTGCTCCCAAACACCAGTTCCTTTCTGTCAGATCTTTTTGTTGAATACCCTGTTTATTTTTACTTGGTTTTCTATCTCTTATTTAACTGGATCTTCTAGGAGGACGACTACTTGGTTTGTTCACAGTTGTATTCTCAGTATCAAGCACTGCACCCAGCACACAGCAGAAACTCAATGGATACTAACAGAATGAAAAACCTGAGTGACTAATTTGGGGAAAAGTGTAGAGCATGCTGGTCAAGACGGAGGATTTAGGGGACAGACAGAATGAGTGATAGAAAATAGCGACTTTTGAGAAGGGAGTAGTTCAGGGAGGCACATGTGTTTGGGTGAGTCAGGATGGTTTTGTAGGTGGTGGGAGAGAAGACAAGGAGAGGAAAGAGGCCCAGGCCCAGGGTGGGGTTGGTAGGGAAGCGGGATTCTTACTTGAGAGGGCAGCTGGCCTGGAAAGGGAGTGGTTTAAGGATTTCAGGAATTTATCAAGTGGGTGGGTGTGACTGAGAGGGGAGGATGGTTAGCCAGAAGGGTTGGGCCTTTGACCCGCACCAGGTACCAGGCTCTCACCTAACTCTGGCTGATTGTAGCCTCTTTTAATTAATTTAGTATTTATTGAGTGTTTTATTCTGTGCCAGATATTTGGTGAAAACTTCCTCTGTATTATTTCCTTAGTCTTCATAAGGCTATAAATTACAGGAACTTTTATAGTTCTGTTTTATAGAAGGGAAAAATAAGATTCAGGTAGCTTAAGTCACTTGCCCCAAGGATGATAGTAGTCAGAAAATCAGAACCAGCACTTGACCCTAGAGCTTTGCACTTGTTACACTTAATGAAACTTCCCACCAAGTCAGTCTTAGGAAACTTGGAACTTGTCTGTGCTTTATAACTGGTAGGGTATCTCTGCTGGCTGTCTAGCCAGCACACACAAATGTAAAGGGTCTCAGGTTTCTTTAAAGTATCCTGGGAATGCCACTGTTCATAGTGTACATTGCTGGAATCTGGAGCTGCTTGCCCTGGATTAGGCCAGTCTGCTTAATCCATATTATACTTTGAGAACCTGGTTATTTGTGTATTGGTGTGAGGCTCAGAATATTGCGAGGTGACTTGGAAGAAGGTGACATAATCAGCAAATGCTGCTGCCATGCTCACACTGCACTTCATTTGGCTTTGATAGTAAACATCCTGGGTCTTGGGTATAGAACAGCTCATTTCCTGAGGGAGTCTGCAGACTGATGGGGAGAAGCCAAAGAAACAGTGACAGTACAGTGTAGCAAGTGATGGGATTGCAGGAGGCCCAGCATTCTGTGAGATGCCTTCTTGGACACTTTCCAGAGGAGGCAAGATTAGATTGGAGTCCCCAGGGGTGAGTAGGAGTTACCATATAGGCTCAGCCCAGGTGTGTGTGTGTGTGTGTGTATGGTGGCTGTGGGGTTTGTGACATGTCAAGATGGATGGTGGTAATTGTAGGAAACAAGGCTGGAGGTAGCAAGGGCTGTGAGTTTTATCTAACATAGAGTGATCAACTCTCATGATTTGGCTATAACTGAGGGGTCCCTTGAATATGAGACTTTCATTGCTAAAAATAGAAAGTCTTGAGCAACTTGATCACTTTACCATTGACAGTACCTAATACACTCTTGCCCTGACCTAGGACAGTATAGGTGGAGAAGGAAGGTTAAGATACTTAAAAGCATTTAGAATAGTTTTTTTAAAAGGTGTGTGTGTGTGTGTGTGTGTGTGTGTGTGTATTTTGTCACACACAGCAATCTGAAAACTTTTTTTAAAAAATACATTTTCACAGCACTCCCACTTAGAAAATTTTCTTGTTTTAGATGAAAATTAAATGAAATTTTCTTGTTTTAGATGAAAATTAAGTTTTCATCTAAAACAAGAAAATTTTCTTGTTTTACTTTTGCTGAATAATGAAAAACTGTGTACCTGTGGTCTTTGTCTAACAAATTAATGATTTAGTTGCAGCATATTGAAATAGTCAAGAGGTTATTTGTTGTCCATCGTTGGTGATTTATTGCCCAAATTAGTGGGGAACTGACAAATGCCTACCACCAAACAGAACCTCAATCGATGAAGTCATTTTTGCTATTGTAATATCATCTTTATGAGGGATTGAGTCCACAAAGTGGTAGAATTTGGTTGTTCTGTTGTTGCCTTAATTCTGGTCACATTTTGAGGGGACAGGAACCAAAAGTCTTGGTTGCAAGTGACAAATCCATCTGAATTGCCTTATGCTCCAAATGAAATTGATTGGCTTTTGTCGAAATTGTGTGACCTGGTTGAACCTCAGCTGAGTTCAGGTGTATAGATGAAGCTGTCAGGAACCTGCCTCTTGCTATCTCCTGGCTCTCCCTCCTCATAGGTACCATTTTCAGGAGCTCATACATTGTATGAGCTTAGCAATCCCTGGGAAGAAGAGAATCCTTTTTCTTAACATTGCTGAAGTCCAGAATTAAGTTTTGCCAGACTCTCTGGGGATTCATTCTATCCCTGAGCTAGCTCCTGGGGCCTAATGTGTATGGTGCGCTAAGTGGCCAAGCCTTTCTCATATGCACTTGCCTAGGACCAGGAGTGGAACCAGCTGTAGCCATGCCAGTGGACAGAGAATGAAAGACGGTGATTTCCCATGGGAGAAGGTGGGAAATGTACACTCGGCAGGTAGACACCCAACCCTAATGTACTCAACTTTTACCCAAGATGGTACCAAGAGCTTAGGGTACAGATTGATTTTCTTGAAATATTACATTCACTGTATCACACCTAATGGGCCCTAGGTACCACTGTGTCAAATCTAAATTCTTGCGGGCCTCAGAACACTCAGACTATATCCTTATCCCTTCTAATTTGGGAGCATAGGGCATTAGGAGCATTAGTAGTAGTAACATACTTATTTAAAATAGAGACCTAAAAGATCGAGAGGATAAGTGATTGTTATCAGGCAGGGGAGGGTGGGGTGGGGGAGACTTTCAGGTAGAAGAAACAAAATTTGAGGACACTTGGGGTAAGGGGAGTCTTGCACACTGGCAGGATTCTGGTCATTTACTAAAGAAGTACATAGGGAAAGGGGAGATATAACACTGTAATATACAGAAGCCAGATCCTCTTGGGACTTGTAAAATGTGTTAAGGATCCTAGTATGTGTCACACTGATGGTCTTTCTTCTCTCTCTCTCACTGACATATACCTCACACACCCACTTGATTGCTCCTTTGTTCTTTCTACAAGTTTCTCTCTTTTCTTCCTGCCCATCCACAACCCTAGCTCTAGTATTAAAATATCAGTCTTCCATAAAAACTGCTCTGGTGACTTTAGCCAACAAGAGTTTTACCATCTTTTCTAACTTCTCTTGTGTTTGTTCTCACAGTCTCACTCAATGAACATGTTGTTATATGTGTCTCTCATCTCTAAGAACAGACCAGCTTCAGTGCTATAGTTTTTTTTTTACCTTGAGTTAGAGCCCTCGGAAGCTCAGGCTTGTTGTTTTGCCATCCTAAATTGTCTTAGTTTATGTATGTATATGTGTGTCTATTTAAACAAACACCTGTTTGTCTCTCCCAGTGTGAACATGTGCTGCATAAGGGCAGGGACCTGCATGGCTTACGTGCTATTCCAGAGACTGACATACAAATAATCAGCAAGTGCTTGCTACAGGATGAACACAGAGCCAAGTTCTGGCCAACCTTTTCTTAACAACTGCCTAGTCTTGCCAGTTTGGTCACGGGAGTTATGCCTTTCTTCAGGCTCAGTGCCCTGCCTACACCCTCCCCATGTATCCCAGGCCCAGCCCCACTCACTGACCTGGTTTGACATCTTTAGGGGGTGACTCACCAGAAGCACCACCTTTCCCTAATCTTCTAGTGTGATTTCACCCTGATGGAGCATCTCCTGATTCTGCTGGCCAGGAGACTGGATATTGAACAAATGATGCTCTCAAGGCACAGAGGGACTGCTCAGGGGGATGTCTGCAGGGTCTCTCCCTTGGTTCTGAGCAGGCCAAGTCAATACAGGATTTGTGTCCCCCACATTTTACTGTGTTCAAGGCACTATTATCTAGAGATATGTGTGAACTGGAGGGTGAATTTCTAGTCCTTCCGGCCTCTTGTCACTCTGCTTGTCCTTTCTCATGCTCCAGTCT